AAATCCTAAAATTTTAAGAAAGTAAAGGATCCAGGTGTGGTAGTGCATGCCTTTAATCCCAGCACTTGAGAAGCAGAAGCAGGCAGATCTCTTGAGATTGAGGCCAGCCTGGTCTACATAGCGAGTTCCAGGCCAGTCGAGGCTACAGAGAGAGCCTATTTCAAAAAGACCAAACAAACAAACCAAACAAACAAAAAAACCCCACAGAACAAAAACAACAAAAAAAGAAAGGGGGAATAAAAACAAAGACATTCAATTCAATATGGGGCCCAAAGAAATCCACAAGAATTTAGGAACACCAAGATGATGAAACTTTTTGCCTTACTTCTTAGTGCTTGTTATATATAAGATGTCATGTCCTTAAACTGTACAAAACAGCCCTACAAAGCCAGTAGCTAACTCTCTTGAGGCACAAACCAGTGGTCTGGCAGTTCTCAGCTCTACTTGGGATGGTTTCCCAGCCAGGCAACAGGTGTGCATACTGAAGATATCTTTAGCATTGATTATTTTTCGGTTTCATTTTATTATTATTATTTTTTTTTTAGAGCTGGGCATTGAACCCAGAGTCTACCTCATGCTAAGCACTTTCTCTACTACTGAGCTCCTCCAACTCTCAGCTGGGGTTTTGAATAAACAATACATTTGCTTGACTTAAAAACCCAAAAGCTGGGGCTTGAGAGATGGCTCAGTGGTTAAGAACACTGGTTGTTTTTGCAGAAGACCCGGGTTCAAATCCCAGAACTCATATGGCAGCTAATAACCATGTCCGTAACTCTACTCCCAGGCGATCTGACAGCCTCTTCTGACTTCCACGGGCATTGCATGACACAGATGCACTTACCTACTTTTAGGCAATACATGCATACACATAAAATAAAAATATAAATAAATAAAATTTTAAAAAAAACCAAAAGCATAAGAGGCAAAGTGAAGCTCCCATTCTATCGATTTCTTATTCTCTTCCACAGTTAATCACTGGTATTAGTTTTTTTGTTGTTTGTGTGTGTGTGTGTGTGTTTCTCCAATTAATGCAACTATAAACAAGTAAGAATGCACATTCTCACTTCCCCTCTTTCCACACAAATCATAGTGTCCAGGATCCAGTGTTCTGTGACTGGTTTGTTCTCATTTACTACTGTGTATTCAATTCTTTTAAGACCATAGGCCCTGGACCTTAAGTTAGATTACTAGTTGCCTATTGATTAGCATCTAGGGTTTTTCTGATCCTTTGTTACTACAAACACCACTGCCAATTATATAATATTGTGCTTAATGTCACCACCAATCTAGACAAGTGTAGCAAGATACATTTCTGGAATATGAATTGCTGAGTCAAAGTGGAAATTTTGGTTGACATATGTCAAATTTCCTTTGACAAAGGTTTTACTAATATACATTCCCACCAATATTTTGCCTCCCACCCCCAGCCTCACTGGCTGAGTGGGTTGTGAAATTTACAGGATTGGATAAGCTAACCAGTAAAAAGTCCCAGTAATCTCAATTTGTATTTCTTTTATAAGTGTGGCTCAAGGCTTCAGGGGCATTTGCATTTGTATTTTCAGTCTAGAAAATTGTCTAAGCACATTATGAAGTCTCTGGAATCTTTGAGAAAATATATACTTTTATTTAAAAAATAGCTTTCAACATTTCTTTGAACATGGAAGAAGTAACATCTGCAAGTTGCCACTGAAGAATATGAAAACATTACAGGTATTTTTCAAGACCGTTAACAAACACAACAGAATCTGAAAAGACTTAAATCAGGTCCCTAGAAACTCATGACACTGATTAATTAAAGCATCCCTAGTTGAGATGAACAGACTTACAAGTCTGCAAAGTTAACATTATCTTTGCTCTTATAATAAACATTCCCTACCCCCCATAGTCTACCTGTATCCCTCCAGAGCACCTATGTTCTTTTCTAGTCTTGAAAAGAGTACAAAGAAGCTGGTGAGCACATGAAAGCAGCCCTCCCTTCACTGTAAATATCCCCTTCAGTGTGGGCCTCTTTCCTAAGGGTCCCCAAATGCCAACACTGCAGACCTTTGAGAACTAAGAGGCAGTGCTAGTTCTTCCCCCACAGAGAGTAAACTTCTATGAAGAAGGGTACAACTTGTGGATGGACTTAACTGTTGACACACCTGGATGGCAAACTCCACCTATTTGTGAAAATCATGGGAGGATTTTTTTGTTTTCATTCATAAGATACTAGCTGTCTACGGGCTTCCTCAGGAGACACCCAATCTGAGGCTTTCCTTAAAGACTTCGTCAGTGAGGAACCCAACCACTCCACTGTGCAGTCCCTAGGTACAGCAACAGCACCTGGCTCTTAGCATTTGTTGAGACAGCAGCGTCTCCGACAAGCACAGCTGTTTTCTTCTCCACCCTTCCTCACCCAGCTCGGCCTGAGAATCCACCTGGGAAACTGGCCCAGCTGGTGTGGCCTCTAATGAGTGGTTGGGTCATGAGGGGGAGGACTTGGCAGGGAGGGAAGTGGGAGCCCCCAGGGGTTAATTTGCCCACATAGCTCTCAGGTGACTCAAGTGTCACCTGTCAGCTGTCCCCTCCAGTCTTTCTACCCCATTCTTGAGAACTCAAGATCAGGTCTGCTTCTCAGGCCTGGAGGGTTTGGAGAAACCTCTGGCTTTGTGTGTGTTCATTCTGCCAACTTTGGTCTCTGTCAATAACTGTTCCTTGTGGTCGCAACTGTCCAGGGAAACCCTTTTCTGTTGTTCCCCCAGAAACCCTGGGCCACAGTCTCAGAGATCAGCCTCTCCCTCACAGAAGATGTTCCCTGCTGGTGACTGGAGACAGGGAGGACTTGGGGGTGGAATGCTGTGAGGGTCATATGTGGGTTTCCAGTTCTAGGAAACTGGGGTTGGGACCCTGTAACAATTTCTCTTTGCTCCTGAGGGCAAGGTAGAAGAACCTCTGTAGGAAGGAATTGTGGCCTGTAAGAGGCCTTCCACTGGCAGGACATGGGCCAGCAGAGCTCCTTGTTCCTACAGACAATTTGGCTTCAGGGAGGTCTTTGGCAAGTTATGTCTATGACCCCATGGGAAGACAGTGACCTCTCAGAAGACTAGCCTGCTCAGTTTCAGCCTAAGAGGGGTATTTGCTGAGGATACACATGGGAGCACACATGGGAAGTCAGCTGCTCAGCTCAACTCTAATCTCAGAAGATCTCTAGCCCCCAGCCTCTCTGTCATGCCTAAACCCCTTTTGGAATGAGACTGTAAGGGTGGGGACAAAGTCCTTAAACTTCCAATCCAGTCCCACCTTGTGTCCTCTCTGGCCCTCGGATCTCCCTTTGGAGCTTGATTGTACCAGGTTTGCACTGGAACCCTCCCAAGCCATGGCCTGCTGAGCATGGAACACAGCTTTGAGGCTCTTCCCCTGTCCTCTGCACACCACCACTCATGCCTGCTTCCTCACCAGCAGCACCCAGGGCAGGATGGCAGCTACCACAGCCACCACAGCAATGAGGGTGATGAGGAGGAGGGCTCGAGACCTGCAGCAGAAGGAGCGGGTGGACCTGGGAGCCGGGGAAACCTCAGAGAGTTCCGCCAAGCTGCGGCGAGGCAGCACGCTGTCCTGCTCCCCAAGGGGCATCCCATGGCGACTGATGATGAAGATCTGTGACTCCCGGGGCATGCTGGGCAGCAGGTCCAAGGGGAGCTGAGCCCCCTGGCTTGAGGATGGTCTCCAGACCTGCTGGGAGATAGCCAGGGGGTTTGTGTGGCCCCCACGGTCTGGTGAGGGCATAGAAGGCAGGCCCACAGGCACAGCCAGGGTCTGTGAGCTCTTGTCCAGCATGGAGGGCCAGCGGGAGCTCTTCTTGCTGAGGAAGGTGACATAGCGGCAGATGGGGCAGACAATAGTTCTCTGCACCTGTCCATCTACCCGGGTAGAGAGCAGGTACTTGACCAAGCAGTCATGGCAGAACACATGTCCACAGCTTAGCGTCCGACTGGCACCCTCCAGATCCCGGAACTTCTCGTAGCACACAGGGCACTCACTGCCCGAACTGTCCTTGCTCTCCCCTTCTGACATGGCCCCTCAGAGATAGCAGGACTTAGCTGGGGGACAGGGATGGTGAAGGATTGTGAATATCAATGAGTTTTTTGTTCCCTCCCTTCCTCCCCCTTCCTAATCCCACTAACATCCTGTTTCCACCTGTTCTTTCTCTCGTTGCCCCCTCCTCTTTCTACTCCTACTCTTTCCTCTTCTGCGGATTTTCCTTGGCAGCCTACCTGGATTAAACTAAGACCTAGAACCTAGGATCCCTAGAGGAGATGCACAGGCACTTCTAGAAGGTGGCATCAGAAGACCCAAGAGATCCCAACTGTGCTAGGCTCTGGTAGGAGGTGTGTGGAGGGTGCCGAAGAACACTTCAGGTACCTGATGCCTCAACTATGGCATGCACTGTTGCTGATGTCACCACCTCACCTCTTCCTGATTCAGTGTCGGAAGTCAAGACAGGAAGACCCAGTTCTCAGGGCAAACAGGAGCTGAGAAGATGCCTGCTCAGATGCATACCCAACCCTAGTCAGTGTTCTGTTTGGGTCTACACCCACAGGGGCCATTTTTTAAAGGAAAGTATGTACTATTTCTCAATTTCCCCCATCAGCAGAGCTTCCTTGGTCCCTGGCTGATTCATGGTCCCATGTCTCATCACCACCTTCACATATCTTTTGGGAGCTGTTTTGGTTTACTCCAACCATTAGACTGCATTCCTCTGTGCCAAGAATGACTATAAAGCAATGATTGTTTTTAAAATAAAGCTCAGAACTTACACATGCAAATGCCTGCTGGCCCTTTGAATAGTCATACACCTGCCATGTTCAGTCATTCTTCAGATTCTTATGAGGCAGTCTGAGGCTGTCAGAAAACTCTCTGATTAACCACAGTAAAAGTAGATTTTCATCCTCAGAGGATGTGTCTGGTATTTTGGAAATGGCCAAAGTCACTGGGATCCGAGTCTGGTGAGAAAATAAATGAGTGATTGAAGTGTCCTGGCTCTGTGTGAAATCAGAGATGGAATGGCTATAAAGTTCACAGTGGGCTTCAAACAGATCTGAGAGGAAAAGGGAGACTCAATAATGTCTCAGCAGACTGTCAATGACTGAAGAGAGATGCCTGCCTGGACATGGGGAGGTCTGTTTTTTCTTCATGTACATGTCTCTAGTATCACTACTATATAGCCTAAACTTATCTAGGACAGCCTTTGGGGAAGGAACCATGAGTCTCCATAATATATTCTTCTATCAATGACAGAGACCAACAGCCCCAAGATACACTGACAGAATAGAGCTGTCATGAGACTTGCCAGCTGACATGATAGGGATAAGATTAGCTACCAGGAAGGACAAACAATAAAGGTAAACCTTTTGGAACCACTCCCCTCTCTTGGTTTGGTTCAAAATCCATCTTACTGAGTTGAAAATGTTCTCTAATTAAGAAAATTTTAGAAAATGGAGTTAATGATAGGAGACATGGGACCATGGAGTCCCAAAATCTTTGTAGGGATTTCCAGATTTGTTCTCTGAGGTGGTCAGTGTGGCCTTCCAGCTGGAGGGTGGGGGTCAAGTGCTCAGATGGTAGAATTGAGTTCAAATGCCTAATATACCCTTTTCTCTCTGTATAACTGTGTCCAAGTTGTTTAACCTCTTAAAGCCTTAGTTTCTCACCTGTAACGTTGATAATAGTACTACCCTCCTCTCAGAACTGATGGTGGTATTAAGTGAGCTAATGTGAATGAGGAGCATGGCGCACAGTGAGTACTCAGTAAAAGGGGAGGGGTGTCCTTCGAGACGGCTTTTCCTCTCTCTTCTCCTGAAAGGAGCTTGGAGATCCCTATCATGTATCTATCTGCAAAGTCATGCCCCCCACCCTTGACAACAGGAAGCCCATCTCAGATGAGAATAACCAAAGAAGATGGCAATAGATTCAGCACACGACGGGCCATGGATAAATTAAGATAGTGATTCCCGTGATCCTCAGTTTTCATTTCATAACAGACTCAAAAAGTCTTAACTGAACGGGCTGCTATCAGGATGGTTTTCCTGAGACAACCAATGACCAACATGTTCCTCTGCATTGTATAACTTCCCAAGGTACATACTGGCAATTCCTTCTGTTTTTCCATCCATCCATTGATCCATCCATTGATTCATTGATCCATCAATTCATCTATCTAAATTTTGACAGCTATTTGCCAAATATTGAGATCATACCTTAGGAGTAGTCAAGAAAGTCCTTCATTAAACATTAGAGCTTTGAGGACATTTATGAAGTTTTTTTTTTTTTTTTTTTTTTTTTTTGAGACAGAGTTTCACATATCTGAGGTTGGCCTTGAACTTTTGATCCTCCTGCCTGCACCTCCCAAGTGTTGGGATTATAGGCATGTTCCACCATGCTTGGCTATGTATTTTTTTTTTTTCAGTCTTTTTGAGACAGGGTCTCCCTGTAGCCCCAGCTGGCCTGGAACTCGCTATGTAGACCAGACTGACTTTGATTTCACAGAGATCCACCTGCCTCTGCTCTGTCTCCCGAGTGCTGGGATTAAAGGTGTGGGCCACCATGCCTGACTTGGCTATGAATTTTTAAAATATATTTTTAAAAAAGGATTGATGATCAATAACATATATTGTTTGGATAACAGAACAAGTGAAAGTAAAAGAATCCTAAAAAGAAAGGATTTCAATGTCATTTAGTCAAGCCTTCTAGTTTTTTGTTTGTTTGTTTGTTTGAGACAGGGTCTCCCTATAGCTCCAGCTGGCCTGGAACTCACTATGTAGACCAGGCTGGCCTTGAACTCACAGAGATCGGCCTGCTTCTGCCTCCCAAGTGCTGGGATCAAAGGCGTGCACCACCACGCCTGGCTCGGCTTCTAGTTTTATTAATGAATATATTCTGATTTAGAGACAGGAGTGACTTGCTCAAGGTCACCCAGCAAAGTAATGGAAAGGGAGACAGTAGAGAAGGAAAATTCCATAGATGCTGCAGAGAACTTTATTAGAATCTGCTGATAGGTTGAGTCAGTAGATGTAGCCAAGTCAGGAAGTCCCTCTAGGGATTAACAGGGAAGGAGGAGAGCTTTTGCTTCTTATCTGAATTCTAGGACAAGTAAAGGGGGTCCAGGGAGTGTCAAAGATGCCCTGGGCACTCACTGGCAGCTTCAGGAGAGGCACCCCATTCGTGTTGGGACAATGCCATCTCCCATCTCCCATCTCCCTTTCTCAGTGTTTTTTCACCCCCTTTCCTGTTCTCTCCATTCCATTCCATTCTCTCCATGCTGAGTCTCTAATGGGCCTGGCTCTGTGTTCGGTGCTGAGTGTGGGAGAGCACAGCAGACAAAATACAAGGAACATGATGTAGTTGGGGCACAAACTAGGTAAGTAACAATGGAAGGCATTATTTTCCAAAAGCATCCCCCCCTGGCACTTTAAGAAACTGAAGGAAGAGAACCGGAAAGTCTTTCTAGCTGAAGTGGGACCAGTGTCTAGCGAATAATGAATAATTATAACAGCGACTGTTTATTGAACACTAATTATGTGTTTGGCGTTTTCCTCACCAAATCCTGACAACAACTTTGGGAGGTAGGCATTATCTCCATTTTTACAGATGAGGGAACTGAGGCTTAGGGCTTAAGTGAAATAACTTTGTCAGAGTCACACTGCTAGTAGAGAGAAGACCCAGGATTTGAACCCCTGGACAGCTTAGCTTCACAACCCACACTATATATTGCCATCTCTGCTGGGGCTCAAATGGGTGCCCCACCCAGGACCTTCCAGACTTTAGTGAAAGGAATAGATAAAGCATGGATGGAAAAACAACTACCCAGATTTCTCAGGGTGCCCCCAAAAGAGCTATCCTTCTGGCCATTTATGAAGCCAGGAGGAGACCTTGGCTAGCTGAAGGGAGCATTCCTCATGAAGCTCCATGCCCAGGCTCCCCTACAGCATCACATCTCCAGGATAAGAGTAGGGAGCAGGTATCACCAGCCCAAGAACCTTCTCTTCCCAGAGACGGAGTACTACTTCTAGGTGCCTTGGATCCCAGATCCCTAATGTAAGCCCTGCAGTTCCCCACCCTTAAGCACTACACACGTTTGTTTTCTTTCCCCCTCTCTTACACACACCTGGCATCATTCCATTCTCTGTTCACAGCATTGCCACACTCTTCCCCCAACCCCAGTCAGGCCCCCACACTCACTTTGGCTGGTACCTGAGAGAGTAGCATCCGTTTTTCGGCTCAGGGCCTCCACTGAGCAGATAGATGGGAGCCACCCAGAGGCACTGGGCTGACAGCAGAATCTCCTTCTGCTGCTGTCACTGTGCCGGCCAAGGAGGCATTTCCTAATGACTGAGCAGGTCGGGAGGGCAGTGCAGGGAAGTGAATGCTGCCCAACCCGTTTGAGGCCAGGAGGCTCTAGGTGCTGCCCAGGGGTTGGGCATCTGCTGGTGTCATGTGATCTCAATGAGTATGCTAGTCGAGGAGCCCCTGGCCTGAGTCAGAGGGTCTCACCATAGAAGCAGTGACCAACGGCCCTTTGACTGAGGCTCCCTGGCCATGGGTCTCCCCATCCAACAGTGGGAAAATCACACACAGTGATCCCCATCTCCCACCCCATGCACAGAGTGAAGGGGTCAATAAATCAGAGCCCAAGTAGGCTGTGACACCTAAAGCCCCATATGAAGCTTGGTATGGTATGCTCATGTGCAACTGTCATTCATTAACCATTCAAAGGGATTCAGTGCCAATAGACCACCCACTGCTAATACAAATAGGCATAAGTTTGATGGGGCGGGTGACTTTGAATGCTTTAAAGCACCTTAGAACAACTATGATTGACAGCAATTAATTATAAATCTTAAAATAGCTACCAGAAGATTTTGAATGATCTCAACAACTACCTCTCAACAAGCACCTTTATCTGCTGAGCCAATTTGAATCTGTGTTTCTTTTGTGATAAAAAAAAAAGTCAAGAATAAAGGAGAATCAAAGATGGGGGAACTGGGAAACATTTGGGGGCCATTTCCTCTCAATTT